TGTTTTTGGCATATTGCAGACACATCAAGAAATATGCTCCCGATTTTAAACATTAATATCTCCGTGAATTTTTAAGTGAAATACAACTGTAATATATCAAAATCTAAGTTAGTCCTTCCTCTATTTGATGCAAGTTATTTCTCTTTAACAGCTTTACTTGTTTAGAAGTTATTACGAATTAAACCGGAGTACTTTTTTTGGGCCACCCGGTATATAGTTGCATGAGTCCAAATAACAAAATATTCTCTCAATTTAAGTGTATGTTATTATACAAATTAGTCGAGGGCCGATCCTCCTATCGCGGCTGTGTGTAATATGCAAGTGATGAGTATATAAGATGCATATTTGAATCCATGTATTTTAAATCTTCCATGCAGTTTCAGCTTTGTACATGTCATGATTCAACTGCAATTATAGTATTCTGATTAAGAACATACAACTTGCGCATGGACATTATATACAAACTGGCTATTTGAAGTCTTCTGGTTAAGATTTCGTAGGTTACTATTTTCCGCTGCTTAATATATTTAAATTCAGTAATGTTAATGTAATAATTACAGCTTTTCAAGAATTTTCCCAAAGTGAATTCCTCTGCTTCATTTCGATCCAAACGACGATGAAATTTCTCGAAAAGCAAACGCTGTAGTTTTATAATATCTGGAAAATATTGCAACGCACGGAGATGGTGCTCCTATAAAGAAGTATATAAAACAAAATTTAAACAATTGTTCATTGAGACAATAATTAACATATATAACTAAAAATTAAACGAGAAATTTAAATCAATAAGAATTTATTGTTGTCAAAATTTATTCTCGCAGACAGAGTTATGTATTTTTATGATTTCCCGTACGGTCGGTTCTTATAGGAAAATAGAACATTCCTTTCCAAATATTCTGAAATTATTACTGGTTTTTTTTTGTTCTGCATCAACAGTAAAATGAATGCTTTAAAAAGAAAAATCACGAGATCCTGCTCATGGGGTAATTTTTCTTAAAGAATCTTGCTTGTTACAAAAATCTTAAAAATGTTTTACAGTCTTAATAATTATTTATACGATTGCAAGTTAAATGCCGTGTAAAATTTGAATCTTGACATGCACAAAATGCACAAAAATACTTTGTATTTCCTTTTAGTGGTAAATTATGTAGCCTGTATCGGGACGGGAGTTCTTTTTAACATGCGAAGGCAATTATCCCTCATATTCTTCCTGAGTATACGATGGCATTTTTTGCATACCTTTTTCAGGAATTCCGCCAGAACTTCACATCTATCTGGCTCAACACGTCCTTGTGAATACTCTTGAAACTTGAATGATAAATATTCTATCGTAATTTTTTTGCGGTATCGCCATAGCGCTGGACACATTGAATCGAGTTCGGTTATGGACTCATAATTTGGGTCATCCAGTTCATGCAGCAACCTCATCAAACGATTATTGCCTGCATATTGAAGAAATTATTGCACATTACTGGAAAATCGACAGAGGAATCCAAGGATTTTCAGTTTTGCAATGTTAATTGCAACTATACAGTATATATCAAATATAAAAAACCTAAATGTAGCTACTATATTTTTACAGTAATTGTGTGTCAAATTGTATTATATCTCTGGTGATTTAACGATATCAGAATATTATGAGGAAGGTTTTAAACGTTAAACTAGGAGATACACTGTCTATATGTATACAGTTCATATACTGTTGTTAGTGTGTACGCATGCATGTTTGTGTATTCCAGAAGTTGGTAGCATCACGGAATGGTGTATTAAAAATGACTCGATATAAATATAATTCCAAAAACGATGGGTTACAAGCTGTTTTGAATATGTTAGCTTGACTGGTAAAAAAAGAAAGACGTCTTGGCCGCGAAAAAATTACTGTTGAAGTGCACATACAGCTATTTTGAATTTTACATATATCCAGTAAATTTTAAAATGAAATGCAATTATATATATTTTTTGTGAAAAACATGTTCGTTGTCTTTTTGGCTATAAAGTTTCGGAAACTGACGTCACTTAAGTCATTTCTGTTGCAAGAAACAATAGCAAACTCATTTGCATTGCCTTAAATGACGTCCAGAAACTTTAACAACCGGAAACTTTAACAACCAAAAAAGACCACGAAGATGACGTTTTTCACAAAGAAAAGATATTGCATTTCATCTTAAAATGTACTGGATATTACAAATATGTAAAATTCAATATAGCTGTATGTGCACTTTAATTCGTCCATCGAAGACGTCCGATAAATAGCATTGTAAAATACGGGAGTTGCTATTTAGCAATGGGAGTTACGGAAATTATACAAGTGTTACATAAAAGCGAGCTGACAATGCTCGAGTTGCCACCGTAAAGTTAGGACAACTATACTGAGTGTCTCAGACACGATCAAACCAACCCCACGTTTTGATTTCTTAACTCTCCCTATGTTTTCTTTGAAATCACGTACATGAGATGGTTAAATATGATCCAAATGTAAAGGTCCCCCCCCCATGGATGTTAATTCTGACATGAATGGCTGGGATTTTGTAATGACTGTCCTTACATGCATGTGTGGATGAGGTATCAAAACAAGATGCTATACCTCTCTGGTAATGTTGGAAAAATAAAAAATCTCTGTAAAAACATTGTTACTTACCAAGTCTTTCATCTCCGACCATACGACCCAAACTGTCTTGGAGCAGGTGGGAAATAGCCTAAGAAGGTCAGAATGCAACAGTTAAAAGTTGATATCCAATGGATGATTCCAGACAAAATTTGGATCTCGACAAGAAGAACAAAATATATTACCATAGATGGAAAGAGCATCCTAGAATGAGTAAAATTGCAGATTGGTTGAGAATTGTTGTAAAATAAAGAAAATATAGCCCTGTGAAGTTCACAAATTTTCTGTATATTTGCATTACGCACAGGAAAAATAACCATTTTTGAGCCGAAAGTGGTTATTTTTACCGCGCGTAATACAAATACATAAAAAAATTGAAACTTCACAGGCTATATTTTCTTTATTTTATAACATTTAGCAACCATTCTTCGCAGTTTTACTCATTCTAAGATGCTCTTTCTAGCTGCGGTGTTGGATTTCGTTCTTCTTGCCTTGATCAAAATTTAGTCTACCAAGAAGCTTTCCTATTATGGGCACTATGTACACTGGCACAGACCGTTCAGGATGATTTCTGATTGAACTTTATTTGGAAGAAATCATAATTTACTGTTTCCCCCGCCCCCTTTTGCCATGTTTTAAAATTTAATTAAAGAGCATTTCTTCCCTTCATTCACTTCTAAATTACGTTTTCCATCTGCAATCTTCCTATTGCTACTTTTAGAGAAATGGATTTTTTCTGAAAATATTTTGCGCTGATTTCTCATATATAGGTATATGTATAGAATATGCTTTTGACTACCACAGCACTTACCATCATGCAAAATCGATGGAAATACTACAATTTTCCCAATAGAGACTCGTTTCCGTTGAAGGGTTTTTGTATATAGAATTTTCAAGTATAAATTATATATACATTTTTAGATACATATTAGATACATTGGTTAGAGCACTGCAACGGAATCGCAGGTTTGATTCTTGCCAGATTTTTCGCAGATGCTCTTGGGTGTGTCTGTACATAATTTACGTATGCCATTTACATTCAACATAAATGACTCTCAAAAAAGGAAAACGAGGCACACAGCCAAGGCCACATACTTTCCAGTTATTATTCTTTGCCAATCATCCTGGTACGAATACAAAATTATAGAAACGTCTGGCAAACATTTCTGTGCCTACCAATATACTTGTCCTAGATTAATTATACAGTAAAAACAATCTCCCCGACCCAATCAAGTCTATACAAATCATTGGAAAAAAACTTGGAAAATCATTGGAAAAAGCCCATGCATATAGCCAAGAATGGAAATTGTATATGGACCTTCATGTATAGCATCGAAATAGTATGGATACTATGGATTTAGTGGTGCAATTGTAAATTTCATAGCAGGCCTATGGATTTCACGGATTTCATATTTTGACCGCTTAATACTTTGAAATTGTTACATCACTGCAAGAATTGCGAAGTATTTCAGTTTTCAAGATTTTCGTATACAGTATACTATACACTTTTTACACCAGGAAAAAACAAGCGCATTTATTACAGGCAAATTATAGTGCCTGTAAACACTATCATATCTGATCATGTGATGTAAAAACTTACGGAAAGTACAGGATTCAAATACGTGGTCATAAATGCATCTTCCCAAGCTGTCCTCGAATTTCTGGTGGTCAGATTGCCATCAATATTTAGGTTACCTATACAATAAAGTTATATATAGTTAACATTTGTTAGAGAATAAGCATAGCAAAACTAAGTAATACGATGGATATGATGCCTGCCTATTTGATATTTCTCGTATACAATCATCACATCATAGTAAATTATTCCTAGGGACTTAAGAAGTCATGATTAATGTAAAATACCTAATTATATCTGATAAAACACTCCTACTCGTGTTTTAAATAGTACAAAAATCACGAAATACAAGCTTACAGTATGTACACTATAGCATAAGGACAAGCATGAGTTATCTTATGCTAGGAACAAACAGCGGCATTAACCGGAACAAGTCAATTGTGTTTTTAAGGCTTAGAGGTTGTGGTTTTACAGTTGTGAGTTTTGACTTTCAGACGATATGCTTGATATACCAACATAGTCTGTCAAGATATGATGGAGGCTCTGTAAACTTCAAAGCTACATGTTACTTCATGTTGAACTATACCTCATTATGCACAAATATTTTGTCTCAACTTCATTAAATATTACTCATTGTGGCTGCACGTTTCACCTCGGCTATTCCCATTGGACGATTACTTACCGTGACCGTGCACAATTTATCATAAACTCAGAAAAAAACATAACACAATGACTTCTGTTTAGTTTCCAAACAATCATATCTTGATAGGCTATGATTCCAAATTCTAAATCTCCTATATACATATTAGATTAATTGCTATAATTTGAAAAGAAAATTGAGTCTATTTCAAAGAACAGAATAGACTATACTATGCAGAACAGAACATAACAGGTGAAGGGTATTAGTCACAAAGCAGCCGTGGAATTATATGTATAGCTACAAATCTATATATGATTAAACGTACCTGTCTGCTGGCCTAGATTGTTTACTATACCAACAAGTACTAAATGGATTATTTGCACCGCCTCGCCATCATTGTTTCCAGTACTTCGTGCTATACATCTTATATCGTGCTGTATATGATCTTTTAAGAACTGGACAACATCTTGAACTGGTGGTTTTATAACGGCAGCAATACTCTGGTTAAAACGTAATTACGTAAAACATATTATTTAAAACATATTGTCTATTGACTATAATTAATAGGTCGACTAAAAATCATAAAAAAGACAAGATGAATTATTATAAATCAGCCCACCAAAAAACACACCATACTATCGTAACTAAAATTGTTTTTTTAAGGGTATATTTTAAAATTTTTCTTGTTTTGTGGAAACTTCATGTGCATGCATCTAGACTCGATAGTATATACATAATCGTCATCAGTACAAATAGTATACAAGCCTTCCACAACACATACTTTTATATTAAAAGTGTCTTGATGACTTGATATATTTTATAATGGATTTGGGAATTTCAGCAACCATGCACGAATTGCTATCTTGTATTCGTGCGAAAAATCAAAATTTCCCCCAATTTTATTATCCGTGTGTACCTAATATTACAGAGTCCGTATTTAGCGTTATTTAGACATCTTAAACATGAGTTTGAGTACTTCAAAGCATGTTGATATAAAAAGACAAGAAAGTGAGCTTCAAGACAATATTTTTGGTGAAGAAATTGAAAATATCTTGCCGATTTATGGTTATTTTAAGTAAACAAAGTTAGCCATATGTAGCAACAAGTCATACTATGCAAATTTGTAATGATTTGCTTTGTTTAAACCGGTTCCTTAGAAATGTATTGTCTTTAACCTATTAAGATTCAGGGTTATTAGCATATCATGACCAGTTATCATGGCCGTCTCGTTACTGGTTTGCCGGACGTGGATACTCCCATAGTTAATAGAATAGATGGTTTGGAAACTCATTAGAATAACAATATAATCATCTATGTTAGTCAACGTTTATTCATAAATCTGGTCGTTCACCGTCACGTGTGTATTGTATTTTTGCCAAATCCACCACCACATTGCTATTGGTTAGTTGGGCAAAAATATACAATACGCACGTGGCGGTGAACGACCAGATTTATGAATAAGCGTTGACTAACATAGATAATTAGTATTATTGCACAAGTGAAATCAAATGAAAACAAATCCTACACGTTGATTTGTCAAATTTGACGTATTAATCTGTTATATTCATCTACAGTGAATATAACAAAATCGAATTTTCAAAATGGCGGCTAGCCGTGAAATTGAAAATATCTTGCCGATTTATGGTTATTTTAAGTAAACAAAGTTAGCCATATGTAGCAACAAGTCATACTATGCAAATTTGTAATGATTTGCTTTGTTTAAACCGGTTCCTTAGAAATGTATTGTCTTTAACCTATTAAGATTCAGGGTTATTAGCATATCATGACCAGTTATCATGGCCGTCTCGTTACTGGTTTGCCGGACGTGGATACTCCCATAGTTAATAGAATAGATGGTTTGGAAACTCATTAGAATAACAATATAATCATCTATGTTAGTCAACGTTTATTCATAAATCTGGTCGTTCACCGTCACGTGTGTATTGTATTTTTGCCAAATCCACCACCACATTGCTATTGGTTAGTTGGGCAAAAATATACAATACGCACGTGGCGGTGAACGACCAGATTTATGAATAAGCGTTGACTAACATAGATAATTAGTATTATTGCACAAGTGAAATCAAATGAAAACAAATCCTACACGTTGATTTGTCAAATTTGACGTATTAATCTGTTATATTCATCTACAGTGAATATAACAAAATCGAATTTTCAAAATGGCGGCTAGCCGTTTTGTTGAAGTTTATAGTGACAAAGAAATAAGCGAAATTAAAATGAATTCAGACCAGAAAAACACAAAAATACTAAAACAATTATTCGCCTCAGGCTCGGTGATTATCGGGGAATATTCACCTCGACTTCGTCTCGACGAATATTCCCCGATAATCACCTCGAATAATTGTTAATTATTCTAATGAGTTTAGTTATTCTATTAACTATGATACTCCAAAACAACTAGAACAACATAATTAAGAAAAATGAATGCAATTTTTTTTAGTTTTTATATTAAACAAAACCACAGAAACCTCATCTTGCCAGGACAAGTTTTGCATGTTGGAATTTGTATTGTATATGTCGTGCAATGAGGTTTTTCCCCAGGGAAGTATGTGATGATCGATGCTCAATAGTGGCTAGTATATAATTACTATATTTATGCCTTTCCAAACGACCTAACTCGTAAGATTCAACTTTCCATAACAAGCGAAAGATAAATGTTTTAAAATAGGTTCAATTTACAGTACATACCTGAATATCCTCATCTGTTCCCAACAACATGGCCGCATGTGTCAGGCAACGTAAAACGCCACAAGACAAAGGATTCAAATTTCGTTCGGTGGTTACGTTTTGTTGCTGAGCTTGAGCACGACCAATAATGTGACCTGTGGTACTTCGATCTTGCCTAATTGCAACAAAAATTAAAAATAAACAAAGAAAAAATACTGCATGACAACAGAATATTCAAATATTTCTACTATATATACTCAACGTTTGGTAAGATACTATAACAGATTTTAATCCCTGTCCAAAAAAAAATCCCTTATTCCAGACAGAATTGGAACCTGCAGCCTTAGTTTTTTATTCCATTTCGTCGTCATGAGTCACATAATCAGAGCAACCACAACTTTATCCACTTATATAAATCGTGTTGATATCATAGAGATACATGCAGTACAGTGTATGAATTAAACTACCTGAATATATTACAAGAACTTCGATGACGTCTCCAGCAAAGGTTTTTCGGTTGGAATTTACCTCAAAATCATCCCTTACTTCATACTTGTTTCATGTATTTGACAGTATTTCATAAACTTCCTGTAATTATGTTTTTTCCCTATCTCCAACCCTTAAGGCGCGGATAGGGTCAAATTTGACCCATAAGATACTTGGGCGTCCTGTAGCAAAAGTATACATGCTAAAATTATACTGCGCATGTCAGTTTGAAGCACATTACTTCCTCTTCAAAATAAAACAAAATTCACAGCGATAGCTTGAGTATTGACGATTTTACAGCGATTTTTGTAAGGATTTTGGACAGTTTGTATACAAAATGGCGTCCCAAAAGGATTACCTAAGCATAAACCAAGTAATGGCCACGTTACATGCCGAAAACGAGTCAGAATTCGACTCAGATTCATCGTGAAATGTCGAAGAATAAACAGATGATCAGCTGATGAATTTCAGGCCTCTTCAAGGTTTCACAGTGATGACAATCCCCAACAAGTAAGTAAATGATCTAATTTTTGTATTATTATAACGTTATTGATTTATTGAAGTAAATTTTCAATAAATGTAGTAAATTTTGAAACAAAGATATGCATCTATAACTATGAATATGATATATTATTCACCCTCATCGAAATTTAGGAGAAATATTCTTTCTAGACATCAGCAAATTGGCTGATGACAAGGCTAAAAGTTGCGGCTAGAAATTCCCTGATGACAAGGGCATATGATGATGCTAGAAATAAGGAGTATCAGCCATATTTTTGTTTCATAATCTTTTGTTTGATATGTAGTCATTTTCAAATTTGTAGGAATCATGCAACAGTGACATCACTGCTATTAGTGATAACGAACCCAGGCCCAGTACGTCAAGAGGGAGCGTTGGACCCACTGTACACGGTCGTGGAAAGGCTACTGGGCATATAATATGTCTCTATTTTACCTGTAGTGATAGCTAGTTAATATAAGAATAACCTATTTTGTTTTATTTGTATACAATATTATAAATTATAGGTATGATGTCAGTAATAATATAAATTCCTGTAATAATCGTGTTATTACAGGAATTTATACCAGCGGTTTCCGG